GCTCTCGCTCTCGCTCTCGCTCTCGCTCTCGCTCTCGCTCTCGCTCTCGCTCTCGCTCTCGCTCTCGCTCTCGCTCTCTCTCTCTCTCTCTCTTAATAAAATTGAAAACAAATTTTGCATTTCAAGAGAGAACAATCGTCATTCTTTTGGTATCTGTGATGCCAATCTCCAGAAATCTCCAGATTGCCTTCCAGCGCCTCCAGTGAAACCTCTGGTAGAGCCTCCAGTCAAGAATTTCTACTGGATGTGCTGGAACAGGCCCATTAAGTTCAGAGCTACGAACTTTTTTGCAGAATCTCCGAGATTGCATGGTACCGTAAAACGGGGCGACTTCAGTAGGCGGAACTATGGTCAAGCGTACCCATTTTCGGGAACGCATTTTCGTTCCCATGTTTGGGAACGATAAACCCAAATATGGGAACGCCATGTAGGAATTATTTAAAACAAGAAAAAGAACCGTTAAATGACGTCCAAAAAATATAAAACGATCGTGAACCGCCTGATATTTGTCTCAATATTGTTGGGAAAGAGTTTGATATTGTAAGGCCCATCGTAGTTTCAAATCGTTCCCCTATTTCTAAAGCAGTCCATCATCCGGGCCGCGAACCCAAATTTGGGAACGCTCTCGTACACTGGCGCTGCAAGCGTTCCTTATTATGGGAACGGCGTACCAAAAATTGGGAACGATTTCACCGACGCCTTTCAGGGGCTCTTTTCATTAACAAGCATCATGTCCAACGCCGCAAATTATTGTTAAGCAACAATCATCAGATGACCTTTCCGGCAAGACCGTCGCATGTTTCGCCCGGTCTTCTGCGCTTTTATTCCCGTCGATCTCGCAGCGGGCACGCCCCCTCTGCAGGATTACGTAATTCACAACGCTCAGCGATGTTCAACAAGGTCTTCCATACCTACAGGGTGTAACGAAATTATCCGGACATCTTTCTTCGCGCTGTAATTAAGAAGCAAGACATTCTGATATTTTCCCTTTTGAATTATTATATAGCCACCTTTCATAAGAGCGCAGGTACACATTTTTGGAGCATTCCAGCCACTGGATTTTCCAGCACAGTGGGTTTCATATAGAGTAGCGCCTTACTAACCTGTGCCCGCAGTTGGGCGGCGCTGGTGGCGGGTGTCCCCTCATTCATCTCCTGATGGACAATAGTCCATAATATATTGATGGAATTGCATGGGAACTATTTCCAAGCCATAGCCCTTTAGCCCAGAAGAACAAAAAGGTCCTCTCGGCATCACTTCTCATTCTGCTAGGGACTTGAAGGTGGTGCGCCGCCCCGTATGAAGACTGCGCGGCTTGAATCAGGCATCGGTACACGCACAGAAACCGAGCCATCCTGTGCCGTGTGGTTGAGTGGCTCCAACCAATCGCTAGCCAGGATGTTGCGCCGGTAATACTCGTCACTGATAGTGGTTTTCTGTGTCGTCATGAACAGCTTGAATATTACACAGCAGCTGAACATGCTCCAGGTCTAAATTTTGGCCGGATGTTTGACGCCGGCGACGGCCGGCACATTCGAGCTGCTGGCAGCCCACACATGGCCGAATTGACGGTTCAACGGGTATCGCAGCTCGAACAGCTTCCCATCCGACCAGGTCACCTCATTCGTGTCTTCCTTCGACCAGTGGACACGCCCTGGCCTGAAGCCAAAGGTGGTGGACTGGTTGTTTTCCCGTCAATTTCATTGTCTTTTCCAGTTTGAAGGGCAGTAAAACCAAGCTAAAGGGCGGGTAACGGTGAATCATGATGTGGGACCTCTTATTATCTGCCTTGGTAAGAATTCGAGTCAGTATGCGGATTAATTGGTGCCGTTTCCTTGTCGCTATCTTGACAACTCTCCTCACCACTTGGCAAAGGGCGCCTTTTGCGATCGAGGCCGGGCTGAGTCTGCCGCCAAGTCCCAGCTTATTACGCCTCAGGCAGATGTGCTACTGGCTGCTGCTGATGTCCAGCTGCTGACAGACCAGCTTCTGGCTCATGCCACCATGCCACCAACACGTAGCCTTACTACGAAACGAGAGACTGTACTCCTTTCTCTCCACTGCCTTAAACGAAAACTATCAAATGAACCCGTCGGCGACTCGACTCTTACTCAGAGCAAGAGTCATTTCGCAAGGTCAGGTCACTGCTGAGTTGAGAGCAGATACCAGAGGTATGCATTCATCCAATTTTCCAGCTTCTGACATTAAAAGAGAAACTGTGCAAGCAGATATGGCGAAAAAATAGATGTCCGGATAATTTCGTTACACCCTGTATATCCACCGTCCGCGACGAGGGTGGAGACATGTCAAGCACCTGTCTGTTTATCACCGATAGTTGACGAGCACAAGGAAGTATCCAAAAATGGGAACGCTGAATATGTTACACCCTCAAAACACCTAGTCCCATGGAAAATCTAGTTTTTTCCTTTCTTAATGAGTGTAAGTGGCAAAAGGCCTGGTAGGATGGGCACGAGGAATGATTGAAATCAGCATAAAAATTATAAATAAGCCACACAGAGCGACCTATATAAGAGAAATTCCCCCAAAACGATCATGCTTAGAAACACGGAAGACAAAAACCACGCTCATGACGCTCCTTATAAAACAATGCTAAACAGCTAGCATCCAAATAAAATATGTCTTTCCGGGCTGATAAAATACAGCTGAATAATTTTAAACCACTGAAACTGAGTTTACAACAGTAGTTCGGTAAAATCACTGACGTTCCACGCGGTCGTGCGCCCCGAGACCAAAAGTCAACAATATTACCTCGGGACTGTCCGCGTGTTCGCTTGCATATGTCAGCATCTGGTGTCGCTAGTATGAAACTTCATAACCAGGCGAAAATTATTATACTTGACCTCAAAATGAAAAAAAACGCTTCATTTTCCTTTAAATTGCATGTTAAATGTAGTATAACCCATGTTTTCACCATTCCGTCATTTCAAAAAAATCATTAAAAATATCATTCCACGGTCAATTTCCTTGTTCAACGGTCAGATTAAAGATAATTTTATAGAGATTCAGTAGATGCTTAAATTAGCGTGCACTTTTTTGAGACGTGATGCACTAATGAGTTTTAGTGGGCGAACGGCCGAAAAATTACCTTCCGTTCCCGTAAATGGGAACGCCCGTTCCCATATTTGGGAACTCCGTTCCCAAAAATGGGAACGTTCCTATATTTGGGTACTCATGACCATAGTTCCACCTACTGACTTTGGACAGTTTTGAGACTTATCGGTGAATTTCTTGAAAACTACTGAAGAGAGGAATGTGAAACATGGACTATTTTGTGGGCTGAGTCTGGCCTTATCCATCCACGGTGTCAACAAAAAATTAGGTATAGCCATTTCCCATTTAAAAAAAAAAAATGTCTGGTGTTCAAAGTCACAACGCAATGGGGTGACTTTGAACAGTCTGTTTTTCATCATTTATCTCAGTAGGTGTGCAATTTCTCGTGCCGGTTGGGGTGGCTTTGAACACCCTGATGCAAAAAAAAAGAGGCCAAAAACAATTTATATGTGCAAAAGTCCTTCTGGGGGTAGTAGTCAAAACAAGGCAAGCTCATCAAGCAAAAAACACAACTTCTTGTAACAGCCTCTGCTGATGAATCAAACACCATATTCACAGAAATTAGCACACAGACAGTGAGTAAAAAGAAGCATCTTTCATGGCAAACACCTTACGTACTCACCTTAACACTTGCATAGGCACTGTGGAGCAACACTCACAGGATATGAAATCACTCGATTCAACTCAACTCAAGTGTAATGCATGCACCCGACTAGGTCTGTGCATGAAATACACCTGAGAACACCTGAGTACAGAATATCCATGGACACAGTTAACACTTGACACCCGACTTAACACCTTAATACTAACACTTAACACTAGGTACCTACACCATCTAGCGTCAGAACACGTCAGTCATGAGTTTACCCCAGCATCAGTTTGTATGGTGAGAGCTCCTCACTCTTTGGAGCCTGCCCTTCCTGTCCATGTCAGGCTGGCTTAGCTTGCACACCAGCTGGTCGATCTCTGTTACACCCCTATCTTGTAGCGCAAAATGTATGCGGTGTATTTTGGTGGGGTTACTTTGATCAACAAGTCTTTTGAATAACAAGTCAGGCACGAACAGTGAAGGTATGAGAGTTGTTGGCGCACTTGGTGCCGCACTGTATGAATCCAAGTGACGTAATTAATAATTGTTTCTTTAATTTTCATGTGTTTTTGATGTTTTATTAACAAAATAAACTAATCACAATTAAATAGTAAGGAAGATAGCAAACTTAAGCGTTTCCTGCAAAATATTTATTAGTTGTTATCATTATGTTAGCATAGGTACAATAATTCACGGATATTCTGGAAAATCGCAGAAACTGATGACAAGGGAGTCTCACAATCACGGATCTGCAGATCATGCACGTAATTTCCTGGACGGTCAAGCAGAGTGTAGCTTAACCTTCACTGTAAACGTCTCTTTGAACACAACAGGAGAATTGCTAGCTTGAGCTGAACTACTGAGAAAACTGGTTAGCGCACATTGTATTGGAGATATGAATATTTTCAAAATAAGTTTTGAAAACCGACGATGTAACGTTATGTTAAGCGCTGTGCAATTATTATTATTATATTATATATTACAATTATTATTATGCAGTTTATTATTAGTTCAGACATAATTCCTGAGAAGTCATGGGGGCTGTAGGTATTGGCAGATATGAGCTATGAGTCTGTAAAATAATTAATAAATTTTTGATCGTCTGTGAAATGTGGTCATTTCAATGTGCACCAACCAGTTTTCTCAGTAATTCAGCTAGCAATTCTTGTGCTGTGTACAAAAGACGTTTACAGCAACAGAGTGAGGGGCAAACTTAAAATAAACTTGATAATGAAAAAAACTGAGGAGATTAGGATTAAATTACAAAATACCAAGAAGTGTCAGCTTGGTATCGGCATACAAAAAAAGGTATCCGATTGACATCTAGCAGGTAACATACCCACTTGTCTCAGCTCCTGTGCCTATATTGATATATCATTCACCTCACCACGCGACGAACGAACGCCCACTGAAGCCAGAAAAGTGATTGAAATGACGGAAATTCCTACCCCTCTATGCAATATATTCACTAGCATTTGGAAAAACAGCACAAATCACCAACGCGCGCTAGATCCGAGCCGGCCGTTTCCTACAGCATGCCAGCGATCATGCTTTCGTCGTCAGTGCGGAGTCAGCGCGGAACGGCCCTGCGCGCCACATATTTGTTCAAGGCCGCTGTGAAAGTGTGGCTTAGAAAGTAGGACCGTTCCTTGCGTGATAGGAGTTAAAGGTCGGGTCTAAAGGACTGTTCCGCGCGCAATCGAAATCGTGGTCTGCAAGGCTTGCTGCAGGGCACGTAAACCCTGCAGGGTATATAGAAACATAGACCAGAGGGGTGTTCACGGGCACCGCACACTGCTGCGTGCGGTGTGTGCGGTGCGTCCAGCAGGCGTGGGGGTAGGGGATGGGTAGGCGGCTCTGACGGCACGGCTGCGTGCGGTGGACGGTCCGCTGTGGCCAGAGGGCTGTTCACGGGCCCTGTGTGCGGTCGGACCGCACACAGCCTCCAAGCTCCGCCCACTGCGTCCCTACGTCAGCCTTCCGTCACCGCACACAGCGATCGCTGTGGCCGGTCGGGACTGAGGGGTGTTCACGGGCACCGCACACTGCTGCGTGCGCTGTGTGCGGTGCGTCCAGCAGGCGTGGGGGTAGGGGATGGGTAGGCGGCTCTGACGTCACGGCTGCGTGCGGTGGACGCTCCGCTGTGGCCAGTCCCGACCGGCCACAGCGGTCGCTGTGTGCGGTGACGGAAGGCTGACGTAGGGACGCAGTGGGCGGAGCTTGGAGGCTGTGTGCGGTCCGACCGCACACAGGGCCCGTGAACAGCCCTCTGGCCACAGCGGACCGTCCACCGCACGCAGCCGTGACGTCAGAACCGCCTACCCATCCCCTACCCCCACGCCTGCTGGACGCACCGCACACAGCGCACGCAGCAGTGTGCGGTGCCCGTGAACACCCCTCAGGCTGTTCGGGTCCCTGCAGCATAGATCTGTGCTGCGTGCGTCATACTTGGGTGACGTCAACCGCCTGGCTCCGCCCACTCTCCGCCGGCACGCCGCGGCCGAGCGTCGCTGCAGCCTATTTCAAACGCGGCGAACCGTTGCGCGGGTGGACTGGTGATTGTCGCTCAAATAACGTTTAAATTGCGTTCAAATGTGGTTAATAGCAATGTGCCACCGAAAAGAGTGATAATGATACCCAAAAAACAACATACAAACCTCTTACAATAAGAAATATCGGACAGTAAACTTTAATCCGCGCCACTTTCGCCTCCTGCAGCACCGAATTTCGTGCTGCAGGAAAACGAAGCATGCTTCAGTAGGTGACGTCACACAGCCGGTGACGCAGTGGTGTGGGCGGGACTAACGGGCGACGAAGTCCTCACTGCGCATGCGTGCTGCAGCATATTTCATTTTGGCTGCGCAGCCGAACAGCCCTCAGTCCCAACCGGCCACAGCGATCGCTGTGTGCGGTGACGGAAGGCTGACGTAGGGACGAAGTGGGCGGAGCTTCGAGGCTGTGTGCGGTCCGACCGCACACATGGCCCGTGAACAGCCCTCAGTATAACGCCTTTTGGGGCGACTAACGGAGCAAGCTAGAGGGTGAGCCTTGCACGTGCGAAATTTCGAAGGGGTACCTCCATCTGACTTGTGCACGGCACCCTACTAACGGGTCTCTAGCGATGTGCCAAATTTGAGCACAATCGGCCCAGCCGTTCTCGAGATCTGGAAGCGGCACCCTGCACGTGCGCACGTGCAAAATGGGTCCCAACTGACTTTTGCACGGCACCCTACTAACCGGTCCCTAACCATGTGCCAAATTTGAGCGCCATCGGTCCAGCCGTTCTCGAGATCTGGAATCGACCCCTGCACGTGCGCACGTGCAGCATCAAACCTCTGGAACAGACCCTATCATGCTCAAGCTCGGGTGGAAACGCCAATCAGCTCGTTTATCGCCTTGCCAATCAGCTCATAGACCCGGGAACAGGGGGGGAGCGAGGGCGATTGTCCCCAACTTAGGAGCCGAGGGGGTGACGTCTCCCAACATTCATGCAGCGAGGAAAGATCTTTCCTCTTTTTGATGACTACACCGAACAGTAGGTAAGCAGAAAACTGAAGTGGTCGAATTTCGACTCGAAGAGAGGGTCCGTCATTGGAACAAAGCGTAAATACCGCTCAGTTTTCGGCCCTAAGAAGACCCTATCATCTTGCCCTATCTCTGAACTCATTCGTAGTTTCGTCGCAACCGGCAAAACGCCAGAAAAAAAGGTGTAATATGCGTACAGGGCATGCATATCTTGGCTCCCTGTCCTTTGAGGTCCTGAGGACGATAGCGGAAATTCTGTGACGATAAACCAAGAGAGGTGGTCGAGGATCCTCCAGTTTTTTTCTAATGGTATTTTCTAATGGTTCTTCCGCTCGCCGCAGCGCAGCTGTGCCGACACCATCAAACAGCAGTGGTTTCAGCAGGATGGAGACCATGCTTGCACCGTCCTGAACTGAAGACCATGCATTGTCTCAGAGAGTGGATGTGAAAAGTTTTCCTTGCATATTATATCAAAATTTGGACCGAATTTGGAGTGGGAAGGGCTAAAATTAGTCTGGGCTAAATCAGTCCGGGCCCAAACTGCCACCCACTCAACCATTCGGACAAAATTTCTAAACAAAATAGGCTAACTTTTATTTCATACCAAAACGGCACATTCGGAAACCGTGAATGCTGGTCTTGTGTCTACCAGCAGCAGATTCGCGAATATCAATCCACTGCTAGATTGACGAGCATGCACGTTTCTGCAATGTTTAGACAACAATATTGTTGTATTATGGTCCAACCCCCGCACGGCTGCTGGCCGCGCCTGCGCGCGCCCCTGCCGCCGCCACCGCTGGCCGCCCCGGCTCCGTGCCTGTGAGCGCCTCTGCCGCCGCCAGCTGACTGTGCGCGCCGAGCGGCATGACTGGCGGCGCGCGGGCGACTACTGTTAACGCCAGACCCCTTGAGACCCTAATTTTTCGCGATTACTTTTAAATGCGTGAAGGAATTTCAACCAAGCTCAGGACATGGCCGTTTCAAGACAGGCCGAAACTTTTACAATTTAGATATTTTATCGCCATTTCAATATTTCAGGCACTTGTCATTGACTCGTAATGTTAAATTTCGAGCAAGATTTTCATCCGGTGTGTAGAGGCTATCACCAGTCAGTCTGTGATACGTTATGACGTCACAGCTAAGCCCCGCCTCTGTGGTCTTGGCGTGCGGCGGTTTCGGGCCGGCGCGCGGTCACTCTCGCTGTGGCGGGGAGCGGGGACGGGCGACGGTCGAGCGGTGCCGAAAGCCGGCGGAGTTGTGCGTAGCGTCTTGGCTGACAATGCCCAGAGAGCGACATGATGACTAAGGAGTCATAAATGCTCAATGCGCATTGCTTCTACAATGCTGATATGTTCGCTGATATTTTTTATATTTTATATAAGCTGCATATGACGGGCAGATGGCATATAACTGACATAAGGTTCAGTGACGTACCCAAGGGGGGGGGGCCACGGGGGCTAAGGCCCCCCCCCCCTGAGCGCCGAAGGCGCTCAGGGGGCCCCTCAGGCCCCAGGATATTTTTTAAACACTGGATAAAACGTCTTTTACTCGGAAGAAAAATTGATATTAAAGTTTCATTTATGTGCCCTGGGTACCCGAGGGGCCCCTGCAGTCATCCAAGGGCCCCCAGTTTCCTGGGCCCCTGGTCGCCTAGGGGGCCTCTGGTAGCCGGGGGCCTGGTCTCATGGGGGCCCCTGATAGCCTGTGGCCCCTAGTCGCCTAGGGAGCCCTGGTCGCATGGGGGCCTCTGGTCGCATGAGGCCCCTGATCGACTGGGGGCCCCTAGTTGCCTAGGGGGCCCTGATAGCCGGGGGCCTCGTCGTATGGGCCCCTGATAGTCTGTGGCCCCTAGTCGGCCTAGGAGGCCCTAGTCGCATGGGGGGCCTCTGGTTGCATGATATTGAGGCCCCTGATCGCCTGGGGGTACCTAGTCGCCCAGGGGGCCCCTGGTAGCCGGGGGGGCCTGGTCGCATGGGGCCCTGGTTTCCTGGGGCCCCCGGTCGCCCCTAGTCGCCTGGGGGACCCTGGTCGCCTTGGGCCCCTGGTAGCCTGGGATCCCCTGGTCGCCTGGGGGGCCCCTGATCGCCTGAGGGCCGCTGGTCAACTAGAGGGCCCCTGGTCGCCTGGGGGCCCCTGGTAGCCGGGGGCCTGGTCGCATGGGGCCCCTGGTCGCATGGGGGCCCCCTGGTCGCCTGGGGGCCCCTGATCGCTTTGGGGACCTGATCGCATTGGCCCTTGGTCGCCTGGAGGGCCCTGGTCGCCTGGGGCAGTGGGGCCCCTAGTCATCTGGAGGACCTGGTCGCCTGGGAACCCCTGGTCGACTGGGGGCCCCTGGTCGTCTGAAAGTACGCTTATCACCTGATTGATACCAAATCATCTGAGTGGCTACTGGCTACTGGATATAAGTAGTGACTGGAGTAGGCACTCATCTGAAGGAGCCAATATCTGATAATAAATCGTTTAGCGGACTGACTCTGGGTGTAAAGAAGCTATTTTTCCCTGTACTTCGACCTTTATTGACAGGTCTTCAAAGGGGCAATGCGATTCAAAAACAAACAATAATCATGCTATACCTACTGCCATCCACGAAATTCTCAAAATGATCGATGCTAAAACACGTGACACAACTTACAGACAGTTCGTACTCCAGTAGGTCTACTTTTTCAAAACACTATCCCATATAGGGCTAAGCGAGAACTTTCCGACACCCTGATTCAGTGATGGGTTGCATAATCGAATCTCGATGGCCTCCCTTACGACACGGCGGGACCATGTTGGCTCGACCGCCAGCGTGCTAGCCTGACCTGGGTCAAATGGTTGGCGACACTGGAGCCAGTGTTCAGCTAAAGGGGATGTGTCTGACCTCCCATGCTTTATGGCTGCTACGTGTTCTTTAAGTCGCATGCTTTTAGGACGCCCGGTCTCGCCAACATACGTGGCACCACAATCACAAGTAGTCTTGTAAATGACACCTTTTTGCAAATCCTTTGGTGGTACGTCCTTGGCTTTAACTAGTTTGTCCCTGAGTGTTGGCTTCGAGCTATATCCTAACCGAATCTGGTG